AAGTTCTTCACATTACCATTGCAACAATTCCATCCGTTTTTTTTTCATTTAAATCTCCTTTAATTTTTATTTCTGTGAGTAACTGATCTTTCTTCTATATAATCTGAAAACATATTACTCAGATCATGTCATTCTGTTTTTAAGAGGAAACTTAATTAGAACTGTCTGATGTAATCGGATTTCCTACGCACAGTGGTTCTCTTTTCCTAATTCCTTACAGCTTCTCCTTCACCCTGTGAGGTATTCTGTGGGGTCATGGGTTAGTGGTTAGGAAATGAGATCAGGATCTCTGGTCCTCATCTGGAAGAGTTGCATCATTTGCAAAATTTGATCGCATATGGGGAGTGTGCAGATTACACAAAAACATTCACGTTTTAGTCTTTTATTGTGAGCAGCAACAAGAACTTGAGCAGGAAGTCATCCACCTGTTCAGGGTCAGTCTGGCTCTTTCAAAATAAAAGACTCAAGTTTATCAGAACAGAATTTTAAATGCAGAGCTGCTCTGATTGGCTGTTGCTAAACAGGAAGTAGACATGGTTGGGGTTTACATGTTTTTATTGATTTATTTCCATAATGATAAAAAGAACATAAAAAACAGCGGTGATGTCACAGAACCAGTTGATGACACATGAGGAAGGGGGCGGGGATTCAGGGAGGCAGCAGTCTGTTTCAGCCGATCAAGGACAGGGGCAGCACAAGGGGTGGAGCTAAACGGAAGAACTGGCTGTCAGAATGTTGCCTAGCAACAGCAGTGCTGCATCCAATCGGAGAAGGGAATAGGGCTTGGCTCTAGCAGGAGGTGTATTCACACGAGGGGGCGTGGCTAAAGGACATCATCACTCTCAGCCGTGTGGAGCTGCGTGTCGTCAGCATCCGTCATGATGCTGCTGTCCTGACTGTCGTCCACCTCCGCTGCTAACAGGGTGAGACAGGTACAGAGAGACAGACAGATTGAGAGAGATGATGATTCAGTCATAGTAACAAAAATAAACTAAATGATTAAATGTGAAGTGAATGAAAATAACCAATGACCAATGATCAGTGATCATTGTTATCACCTTCGTCCTCGGGCAAGTATCTCTTATCAATGGCTTCTTTGATCTGGTTATTTGCTCCTTTAGGGTCCAGATCCATCGCCCAACTGAAGTTCATGAGAGCCAGGTGAGTCTGTCCCAGCTTCTTATAAACCTGAGAGTCAGACAGGTTAGAGAGTCCGGGGCAGACACCAGGGAGACATGCACAGCTCTAAGTCCACTGACAGTGTTAATTCAGGTCTTTTCATACATGTTTGGATGTTGAAAACTTATTTTTGACAATTTTACTGCTCCTCTCCGTGTCTTCAAAATTCACACTGAGATCTGCACCAAACTTATAAACAGACATACGTTTACTAATCTTACAGTTTCTGTTGCTTTTACCCAGACTGAGTTTTGGGTGTGTTACTGTGTGTTATTTTCCCCTCAGGTTCATAAATAAGATACATAATTCTTTTATATAATCAACTGCTCATAGTGATGAATCTAACCCGGGACAAACGTGATCACTAGAAGTTTCCACAGTAGAGTGTAGTTTAAACCTAAATAAGATACTTTATACTACACAGTATTTTATGTATTATTATGCACTCAATCAATGGTTGTATTTTAAAACTAGCGTGAACATGATAAGATGTGAAATGACTGGAACAGTTAAAACATTAAATCATCTTTAAAGAAGACAGGTCACGGGTCTCTGGACCGAGGTAAACTGTCTCAGGTCAGAGGGCACAGGTCAGAGAAGAGCAACCTTTTGTTACCTTTCCTATGAGGAAGTAAACCAGAGACTCTTTAGGAACAATCTGTTTCAACTCCTCCAACTCCTGAAGAGCTGCCTGCAGAGACAGACATGTTACAAAGATGGACAGGTAGGTCAGAGGACAGACAGGTCAGACAGACAGGTCAGACCCTATTGATTACCTTGTACTTGTCATTGGCGAACAATATCGATGCTCTGTGGAATTTGCAGAGTGGATTTTTGGGATCAATCCCGATGGCTCGATTCAGAGTTTCTAAAGCTGCATCAGACTTCTTCAACGCATGCTGCACCTAGTGAGTGAGAGAGAGAGAAAGAGAGAAAGAGAGAGACTGGAAGATGCTAAACATGCTAATGAGCAGTTGGAAAATAAGATGGCAGGTGCTATTAATGTCAGAGGGTAATAATACTAACGTACAACTCCGATGTGGCAGAGCAGCACGGAGCTCTGAGGGTTGATGCTCAGAGCTTTCTTGAAATGGATTTCTGCCAAATTGAACTTCTCCTGTTTGTAGTAAATCATCCCAAGACCGTACCTAAACACACAAAGACACACATTTACACAAAGACACACAAGCTGTCAGACTGACTATAAAACAGAATATTTGAACTCTTTTGATCTTTGACCGTTGGAACACTGTCTGACTAACCCCAACCATTACCACGGCTACTGTACCATGCGTTGTAGTGTCGGTTGTTGACTCTGATGGCGTTACGGAAGCAGGCGAGTGCTCGGTCCAACTCCTCGGTCAGAACAAACTCATGACCCAACAGAGTGTAAGCATACGCAAAGCCTGGGTCAACCTGAGAGACAGACAGGTACAGGGAGAAAGACACGGGTGATCCGAGAGTGACACTTCACCTGTCTTCTGCTCTCGCTCAAACTACAAGGAGTCAGCCCCTGGCCTTGGTAACCATGGTAACTATTATTACAGAAACTCACCTGGATCGCTCTCTGGAAGAACTTTATGGCGATGTCATGCTCCCTCTGCAGGCTGAAGCAGTTTCCTGCAACACACCAGGACTGCAGCCAGACAGGTGATCAGACAGACAGGAACCAGAGAGACAGACAGGTGATCAGTCAGACAGGTGATCAGACAGACAAAAATCTGAGAGACAGACAGGTGACCTCTGACCTCAGGACAGTTCTTGTCCATGTCCGTCAGGTCTTTGGACAGCGCCGACAGAGCGACGTCTTTCTGTAGGTGCCACAGAGTCGTTGAATAAATCTCCATCCCCTCAACTCTAAACGACTCGATCCTACGAACCTCGCTGAACACACGCTCCGCCTGCGGACACACGTGTGTAGGGTGAGTGTTACCTGTGTGTGCGTGTCGGATGAGTGTTACTTGTGTGCATGTGTCAAGTGAGTGTTACCTGTGTGTACTCAGCCAGCTCAAAGTAAGCCCTGCCGATGTGGGTGAGGACCCAGCCGGTGTTGTAGTGTTGGGGGGGCAGGGACGTCAGTATGTTGATGGCTTCTTTGCAGTTGTATGAACACAGCGCCTGGTAACCACGCCCCAGTTCCCGCAGCAACGCCATCACGCTGTCTGCAGCACAGAGGACAAACATCATCATCAGCAACTTCCTGTTGGGACTCTAGACGTTCAAACCAGAAACCAGACTCAGGTTTCAGGTCATGGCCAGATTTACACTGAAGATGGAGGTTAATGTTCGAAAGGTGAGACTGCAAGGGCGGGCACACTAAGCTCATCAGCTGTGATGAAAATTGTTTAGTGACTTCATGTGAACTACATCACAGGATTTTTCCTGCAGAGAATTGCAAGGTGGTTGCATCCGTCAAATTTTGTGCCACCTCCTGGATTCTAGTACAGTGGAAGCAACTTATAGTGATCACGTTTGTCCAGACTAAATTCAACACTATAAGCATTTGATTACTATTAACTAATCGTGTAGCTTCTGTATGATAGTCCCAGAAGGGAGAGAGAGGCCTCTCTCTCTCAGCTGACTCACTACAGTTTAAACATCTATTTGTTTGAAATGACGCCACAATATCAGCACTGATCATCACATAATGATCAAAACTTGTTAAATTAATCAAATCTTTCCTCATAGCTGTGCACTCATTCATAATTCAGTCTTTCGCACTGACACAAAGTGTGTATGTTACCTGCAGCAGCTCTCTGGTGCTGGATCTTGGTGTCAGGTAGACACAGACCTGGATCCAGTCTCAGGATGTCCAGACTCTCGTTCAGGTTGCTGCTGTTTGATGTTTTGGTTGATTTACATTTCGTTTTTCTGTTTGGAATCTTTGTTGGAAACTTCATCTTTAACTTCTTACTGTTCTCCTGTAGAGACACAAACAGTGTTAGTGCTATAGTAAAAGTTTTACATAAATACTGTTGCCCCAACCAGTGGAGTAGTTTGGTACCTTGGCAGTGGAGCTGGCACTGGTGAAAAGTCTCGAGCTTCTCCTGGGCTGAACGTTTGGAGGACCAGACATACTGGGACTGAGCACCTGAGGAGAGCCACTGACAGACAGACAAGTCATCAGACATCCTGGGACTGCACACATGAGGAGTTAATGACAGACATCTTCTAAGACACCTTAATGAATATCACCTCTGTCTCTTGCCAACCTGTCTAACCTGTCGTTTTCTGATTGGACCGGAGGGGGAAAAGCTGTGATTGGTCATAATAGTTACCTGGTGTGTGGTGCAGAGGTCTGGGATTGGTTGAATGGAATAGGAAGAACTTCTCTGCTGTTTCCACTCTGACTGAAGACAGACTTTGACTGACTGATCCGGGAGACAGACTGAGAGAAAGAAAGACATGTCAACAGAGAGACAGACAGGTGAACGTGTGTCTCTGGGTGTTGGACTCCAGATGTTTGGGGGGTTGGCCTCTCCTCGTCTCCATGTGGAAACACACAGATCAAAGGTTGTTGTCCAAATGACACACGTGTTGTCGTAGAGAGACTCTGACCTTTTTCTGTTCTCACACACAAACTTTTATTGTGAAGGTTCAGAGTGTTTCCTTTTCAAACACGCCTGATGTGACGTTGTTGAGGGGCGTGGCCTCCACACATGACATTTTAGCTGTGAACACCTGTGGCTGGTATATATAGCATGTTATGTTACATGATGCGTTCGTACCTTCTTGTTGGGACCTGTAGTTTGCGTTTCCATAGTAGCTGAATAGTTTTGTAGATATGTGGGGTCTCCTGGGCTGGGCTCCAGGGGAAGGATTCCAAAACTATCACACACACAGTTGGTTACATATGGTTGAGTACTATGAAGATGTGAACACACATGTGCAGGTGTATCACTCACCTGGGCGTCAGCGGGCTGAGCGCAGCAGGTCCTCCCAATAAACTCCTTCCACTTTTAGGCTTATTCTGTTTAGCCAACAAGGACCCAGCTGATGCCATGGAAACAGGGTTACCCAGTAGGGATCCAGTTTCCGGGGAGATAAGGGAGGAGTCAATGTAGGAAACTGACAAATCAGATGTCAGCTTTCCATTAGAAGATTCTAGATTCAGACGATTCAACTCCTGAAAAAACATGGGATATTAGGTATTAATATTAGTCACACTTCATGGTCATGTGATCCTCATAAAATGTAACATACATGACATCATGCCATTACCTGTTTTTATTAAAGCAGGAAGTCCTGCTGAGACTGAATCACATTCACAAAATATACATCTTACAATTTTAAAGGTCCTAAATCCTAATCAGTCATTTTATTACTTACAGATTATTTAATCTGATTATCATACTGCAATTGTAATGTGTATACTAGTCCACAGTAATCTGATTACATAAATACTGAGGTGTGTTTGTATTGTGTACCAGTGTGTCCTGTGGCGTCTCCATTAGGGCGGTGTCTAGACGGTGGGACGGGTTCTGGGCAGGACTAACAGACGGAGGGGGTGGGGCTATAGAAGAGTTCTGTAGTGAGGACAACCTGAAGACCTGATCTGGATCTGGTTTCTCTCCTGAAAACACAGAGACGCATCAACATGTGTGTGCATGCGTGTGTGTGTGTATGTGTGGACTTGCAGTTGATCCATGGGTCAGGGGGGTAGGGTCATAAAAATTACTATTTCTGATTAATTGAGGTTGGGTTCGGGTGGGTGAAATAGGCATGATACATCACTAATGTGAATAATATTAATATAGATTAGATTCTCTAAAATAACAATATTTACAACACTGATTAGAAGAAATGGTCACCTTATAAATAAAGGGAGCAGCAATGACATATGAATTTAAGAGCTACGGTCAGTGACGGTAGAATATGTGAGGAGGCATATTGTATATAAGCACCACTATGATCGTGATCCACCATCATGATCGACAACCCACCGTAACGATCCATGATCATCTGCCACCATGATCACGATGGATCACCTCAATCTCTCCTTGTTTCCAGATGTGCCAGGCACATCCTGTCACTAACATACCAATTGCGCACATTCCATGCGCCATGGCTCATAAAAATAGGTCCATACAACTAGTAATGTCAAAGGTTTCCACCACAGTGTGTCCTCAGAGTCAGTGCAAACAGTGTGTATCAAACTGAAGCTCATTATAGAGGCCACATCATGTGATTCAGTGAAACTTTTCATCCCTCACCAAGAGGCTTCTTTAGTTCAGTTCGCTAGGTCTGGATTGTTAGAACAGCTTCATATCTTGTGGCCCTAAGTTATTTATCTCCTTCCCACGACTTATAAAGTAGTGGCCACAAGTTATTAATGCCCATTCCCTCTCCCTTGGCCCTAACCCTAGATATGAAGTGCCCTTTGCTGGTAGTGTCCCCTCCAAACGGAGCCACAACGGGTAGGGGTATAAAACCTCCCCCAGGAAATGGGACACCACTCGCTACGTCATCAGCAGCCAACCAACGTTATTACAATGACAAACAATATCAAGTAACGTTATTATATTACTAACTGACATTACAACAGTGACACATCTGACAACTACAGGACAGATGGGACATATTTATCACTGCACAGTCAGTGTCTGTTATAACATGAGCAGGGAAGTTTTTCTTAAACTTCATATATGGAAGTTACAAACGTTACTCGTTACTCTCACTCAGACTGTTTACATGTTTGTTTTGATGGCGTGAATAGCCATTTTCCTGAAATGCTTGTCAAAGCGATTCACTGACATTTTCATTTGCTGCTGGATTGAACAAAGATATAACCGCGGGATTTAAACTATTTTTTCATGGTTACTTTGGAAGATTTCGTACTTTGTAAGGATTTTACCCGCAGTGGTCGCCATCTTGACTCACTTCATGCTAACACTAACACTTTTTATAGAGGTCCTAAATACACTATGGTTAAAGGGGTGTTTGAAGGGCTAGACATCACATAGACAAATGGAACAACACTACCCCTTCACAGCCAAACACAAAACGAAGGTGTAGGGCTAATTGGTGAATTGAGACAGGGCCTAAGTTGTAACCACACGTTATTATTTCATTGTCACACAATATTTGTTTACCCAAATGTCACCAAAAGGGCTCCACAATTATGCAAATACCTGTTAATTTTTACTATACTTTAAATAAAAGTGAATTTAATTACAACCAGCCTTCTTAAGTGCAATATGTAATGATATTATCAACAGTAGAGGTGGAGTGGAATGTTCATGCGGGTGCAGGTCTCTAAATTGGAGAAAAGAATTCCTTCAGGTCAGTTATGGGCAGATGAGTAAAGCATATGCATCTCTAGTGTGTGTGTGTGTGTGTGTGTGTGTGTGTG